GCCCCTGCAGCCTCTGTGCCCCCTGCTCCCCACTCGCCCTGCAGCCTCTGCACCCCCTGCCTGCCCTGCTCCTCCTCACCCTGCAGCCTCTGCACCCCCCAGCCCCTGCAGCCTCTGTGCCCCCTGCTCCCCACTCGCCCTGCAGCCTTGTGTTTCTGAAGACCCTGCAAGACCTCTCCTGGGATCTGCAGACAAAGCGGGATTGGGAGAAATAACGGGTTTGAGTCATACTCAAAGATCCATCTGTAAGAGGTCGGTTTGTATTTTTAAACTTACAACTGAAGATTAAACTGCTGCTCCTGCAAGGCGCTCTGTGCAGAACCCCACTGGGAGCCCCCTGGCCACAGCTCATTTCAGGATTAGATCATAAATTTCCCCAGTTTAGATGCAGCCCATGGGGTTTCTTGTACCTCCTCTGAAGCAGCTGGCACTGGCCACCATTGGCCAAGATACAGAACAAGTCCTGATCCGATACAATTACTGAGAGCCTACAAATTAGCTATAAGCTAAAGAGAATTAATAGCCCTAGACTTTAAGCAGAGAATTTCCTAATCAATGTCTGTGATGAGAGTTTGATTCTGCTTAGGATGAATCTGCTGTTTCTTAAACAACTCTGTTCATGACGCATGAGCCCAGAATAGAATCCAGCTCATTCTCCCATAGCTGGGATGGCTCTGCACTACAAACACCCCCTTATTTTAGGCATTAAAGTCAGAAGGTGCGACTCCAAAGACACGCAGTGATCAGGTCTATTGAGGAAAGTGCCGTTTTCACAGAAAAACTCTGGGAGGGACAACATAAGGAGATACGCCTTTCCAAAACACATGGTAGAGACGGCGGAAGAACAGCACCCGAGGACAGCTGCAGATCCCAACACTTAAGCCCCACTGTTAGTAGAGTAAAACTAGGCAGAGCCTTGCTGGATCTCTGCCCCCATCAACGCCTCCCCTTGCATTTCAAATCGGATCAGAAAAATCTTCTTCCCGTCTGCGCAGGTCCTGTTTGGGGATGTTTGCTATACCTGTTGGAGCTGGACTGCCCTGTAGCTACTGCCCTGCACAGCAAAACCATCATTCAAAAAGAATTAGACAATTAAATAGAAACCCCCAGGCCCTAATAGTGGCCAGGTCTTTGTGCAGGTTAATTTGGGCTTGCATAGGTGCAGTTTGCTGCTGGCCGGGATGATGCAGGCAGGGCAGCTCACCGGCTGGATCGACGCAGGTCACTGAGGAGAAAGTGCAGCTTCTCGGTCACAGCAACCTGCGAACAGAGGGGGAGACGGGAGGAAACCGGTCAGTGGTTTGATGTAAGATGCCGCTCTTGTTCTCTTATTCTCCCATCACAGACTGTGAGGGACGGAACCTTGTATGATTGGGATGAAGGCTCCCGACTTGTCAGAGGCCCCAGACGATGGGCAGAGAAGAAGAACAGAAGGAAAAGGTCGGATATCTAATCAGAACGGGCGCCTCCATGATGGCTCTCATCACAAAGCAATGAACACACTCTAGTCAGGAAACATTTCATCCCCCAGCGAAATGCAGCCACCTCTGCAGTGGAACGGGAAAGCCATTTAACAGCACATAGCAGTGCTGTGCAGAAGAAATCCTGCACGAGCTGAAACTGCAAAGCGTGTTTAGGGAGACAGAATGGAGAATGCAGCCAGGATTAACTCCTGCAAAAAGTGCCAGGGGGTCTTTAATGATCACAGGTTGTCAGGACCTCAGTTTTACTTCCCCTCTAAAAGATGCCACCGCAGAGGCACACCGCCCAGGGGTGCATCCTTGAACGGGGGCAGCACATCGCCCCCTAGTGCTGCAAGAGGGCATTACAGAAAGCACTGACAGGAGAGAACATCTACTCAGCCACACACGTCGCTCCCTGACACGTAGCCCTCTTGAGTATTGCACGGACAGCAGGGTCAGAAGGAAGAGCACCACCTGGAGCCCCTGGGTGCTCCTTGGAAGTACTCATCAGGCCTGTCCCTGCAAGGTGTGATCCCAGGTCGAGGTGGAAGAGCTCAGCTCAAGGACGCCCTGCCGTTGGCGATGGCCTCTGCACAGCCAGTTGGCTCACGTACCTGGTAAGGCTCCGGGTCCTGGAGTCTCTTGTGCGCAGGGCTGAGCATGCTCAAAGAGGCGTGCGCGTGGCTCTTGATTTCCAGCAGGCCGGGAAGAACCTGGCAAACCTGCTTGGAAGGGGGGAGGAGGACAGAAGGACGAAGGTTTGTATTAGAAGCAAGAGCTGGGCCTGAGCAGGACAGGGGTCTGGATCGAAGATGAGGCTGAGTTTGGGGGAGTTCAGAGCTGGGGTTTGCTTCTCCCCACATCTAAGATTGAATGTTACGACACTGCAATGGCACGATAAGAACGGTAAGTGTAAAGCGCCTCGTACACATTAATCCTCAAAGCCCTTCTCCCCCCAGAAGGTATTATCCCCACTGAGGGGGGAAACTGAGGCCCAGCGAAGGGAAGTGACTTGCCCAAGGTCACCCAGCAAGCCAGAGGCAGAGCAGAAGAGAGAACCCAGGACTAAACCTACCAACAGCATAGATGCCGCGGAAAGTGAGTCATGAACAAACCCCCTAAGCTGTGCTGCTAATGAGGAAGTCCTAGCTGGGGCATCCCACTGAGCCACTTTTGCCCGGCTGCTATCCTCCCACATGTGCTGCCTTCCAAACCAGAGCATGGGATCTGCTGTGAAGAAGGCCCTACGCACAGCTCAGTAGGGGCCAGTCAGCTCAGTTTGCCTGCAAGGCTCTCAACAGCCAGAAAACGAATACACACAAGATTCAAACATATTCACAGTTCCCCAGGGCACCTGATTCCTGATCAGCAGAACCACTTCCCGCTGGGAACAGGCTGGGTGCTGCCAGAGGCGCAGCTCACACGCCAGGAGGAGAGTGGACCGAGCTGTTGACTTTCCTGCACTCTCCCTTTCATCCAGGTGACTCCCAAAGGCCTATTCGGATGTTTACTCTCTGTAGGAACTCCATAGACAGCTTCCCATCCAAAAGCAGCCACTTCTGGGGTGGAAGGTGGCAGCTGTCTGACTGCGCAAAGCAACACTACCCAACAGCGTAGGGCAGGAAGCGATTATTACACTCAGTTGAAAATGGAGAGGTGGGGGGTCTAGGTGAAGGTAATGTGAACACGCAGGTTTAACCCCTGGACTCCTGCAATTTGTGCCAAGCGGACAGTACCGTGGTTTTCTCCCCCCTCTGACAGATGATACAGCACCCCTAATATCTTGCTGGGGCAGTACCGATTTGAAGGAAACCGTGCCACCACCCTGCACTACTCTAAGACTTCTCTAGAGGTTTCTCATTCAAGTACTGGCCTAAGAGGCAGCCTGCTTAGCACCAGAGTGTCAATGGGATCACAGCTGGAGGAGTCACGGCGGCAGGGGAGCCAAGGAATCAGCTAGGCGGTGAGACAAGCTTGCAACATGGTCAAAGAAGCAGCAGCCCGGCGGCTTGCAAGGAGGGAGGGGCGCATGCCTTTTCTGACCTGTCCATCTTTAAAGTAAGTGCGGTGCAGGATTTCCACGGCCGTGGGAGTCACCCTCCTGGCCTCCTCACTCCTTCCCAGCAAGCGGACAGCCACCTCCTGCCCTGCCCTGGGTGGGGGCTCCTCCTCCAATGCCATGAGATCCATAAAGGCAAGACCTGCCAGAAATCGGAGGCAGACGTTAGCCGCCCGGGTTAGGGGTGGGAGCGCGCTGGGGTTCAGAGCAATGCTGCCCCTCGTCGGGGAGCTGTGCCAGTTTAGATCCAGACCGAGACCGTGGCTTCATCAGCCGGTGCCCACAGTCTGAATGTGAGCCAATCTCCCTGGCAGGCGCACGGCTGAGCCGTGGGGGAGAGAGGTTATAAGCAGGGGATGTTGCAGGATCTCCTCATTCAGGTGGGGGGAGGAAGGGGGCTACATTGCTGCAAAGGTCAATGGTCCCAGCTCTGGGAGGCAGAACACGAGCCGGGAATAGCAGCTTTTCCGGACGAGCCTCTGCGGATCCCACACCTACAGCTGCCCTCGGCCACAGGCTCCGGGAACACCTGGTGCTTTTAGAAACTGAGCAAACAGCAAAGACAGGGGCTGCTCAGCCCAGGGGGCAGGGAGAGAGGAGGGGTTGCTGCGAAGCCAGAGGACTTTCCCCTGGCCCGCAGAGTGCTGGGAGAAATCCCAGCGCAGCAGAATTCCCCTAGGGAACGGGAGCCCCAGCCCCAAGGCCAGAGGGAAACACGCAGGCGTCTAGGTTAGATCTGGGCTGCGACAGGGAAACACTGAGCTCAGGAGCTGTTCCACTTTGGTCGACGTCCCTGGAGGCTGATGTTCTTAGGCACAGCCTGGCTAGCAAGGCAGGCTTCCCTGCAGCACCGTACTCTCAGCCCTGAGCAGGGAAGACCCACAGCCAGGGGGAAGGGCCAGTCGATCCTGGGCATTCCGCTGGGACTGCCGGCAAGGGGGCTAGTATGGTTGATGGGGAGTTTTAAAGAGACCCTTTCATTAGTTGCCAATTCGGTTCCACATGGTAATGGCCAGACTCAAACCAGGGACCCAAAGCGATGGCCACCTATCCCAGCTCCAATCCTGCCCCCCTAAATCCGGAGGCAGGACTCGGGCGTGCGAGCTGTGTATGTTTAAGACACGGTGTCTCAGGTCTCTGGGGGAGCAATCTTTATACAGCCAGGCCTGTATTCCCAGGATGTTGTTCTCATTTTGCAGGGCGAGCACTGGGTCAATGTCTCACCAGTGGCATTAGAGAGCCTGTACACCACCTTGCTCCCCGGGATGGTCATCTTCTCTTCGTCTTCAGTCAGCTTCAGCTTGGGGCAGCCGTGCACCTTCACCAGCTACAGGAGGAAAGAGCAAAGATGAAAAGCTCCTCAGTGCCTACCACACTTGTACGCAGGGCTGTCCCTACCTACGGTGGTGCCCTACACTGCTTCCCCTGTGGGGGGGCACGCTCAAGGGCTGCAGGGCTGTGGGGACAGGAGCTGTGGGGGGCAGCAGCAGGGTAGGGAGGGGCCCAGGGCAACACGGGGGATTAGTAGGGGGCCTGGTGCCGGCAGCAGGAGTCGGGCCTGCCCCCCCGCACTCACCGATGGCAGCGGGAAGCAGAGCGACCCGACCCCAGCCTGCTCCGCTGCCCCAGCTCCCAGCCCTGTCGCTTGGAGGAAGGGGTCAGGCCCGCCCCCGCACTCACCAGCGGCAGCCCAAGTCCAGTGCAATACAGAAGCAAACAGGATAAGAGGCAAAATGTAAACGAGAATTTATAAATGGTTTCAGCTTTAATCACCTAGTGTTAATGACGGAACAGAGGTGTGTGTGTATATACAGATATATATATACGCCTGATTCTTTTCTCAGTTTACCCTAGCATAACTCCACTGCCTTGGGCATAAACTGGCTATGAATAAACTGAGGCTGGAAATGAAAAGAGAGTTTCTAATCTTCAGAGGAGTGAGGCTTTGGAACAGCCTGCCAACAGGAGTAACGGGGCCAAGAACCTAACTGCTTTTAAGATGGAGATTGATAGATTTGTGAACAGGATTATCTGAGAGGGTTGCCTGTGATAGCAGGGAGCTGGACCCAGTGATCAGGAGGGACCTTTCAGGCCGATGCACTATGGTCTTTACTCTGGATTCAAACCCATGTAAATGAGAGGAGAATCAGGCCCATGATTTTTAACCTGCCAGTGTCTCTTTAGTCGCGTCAACAGGATATCCACCAAAATAATTCCAGCGAATCACAACACTGAACTCACACAGAGCTTTTCATCCAAACATCTACAGCCGCTGATACTATCACACTTTGCATTCAGTGAGCCAATGGCAAAATTAGGAGGAGAGCCCAGCTCTGACGCCCAGTTCCCCTTTCTAAGCTCTGGGCCACGGGGCCTCTTTCCAGTCCCTATTAACGAAAGTGGAAGAGGAGTCAAGCTATTTGAGAAAACGGCAACACCCCCCTCGATCACCCAATAAACCCAGACAAGCATTGCAGCCTTAATGGTTGTTAATCATTGTTGCTAGTTTCGTCAAGAAGCTGCAGGTTGGTGCAATTGCTAGGTTTGCACTGAACTCCGTGTGTGTGTGTGTGTGTGTGTGTGTGTGTGTGTAGTAG